CCAGTCTCTGCTAGCTTCCAACCTTTCACCTGCAGCTTCCTAACCTCTCAGTCTTGGTAGGATTCAGGAGAGGCAGAGCCGGGCTCTGGGTTCGGCTTTGACCTAAGGGAATGTTGTAGATGGCTTGATCTTTTCCCCAGACCACTAACACTTTTCCCGTATCAGCAGTAATGATGTTCTGCTTTCTCATTATTCATGTATTGACTGGAAAAGCACTTTTCATCTCCTTCAAGACCTTCTCCTTTGCATTCACAACCCGGCTAGCTGTTTGACACAGAGGCCTAACTTTCAGCTCGTCTTGACTTTCAGCATGACTTCCTCATAAGCTTGCTTGTTTCTAACTCTTGATTTAAAGTAAGAGATATGTGACGCTTCCGTTCACTTGAACACTTAGAGGATATTTGTGGGTTATTAATTGGCCCAATTTCAAAATTGTTATGTCTCAGGGAATAGGAAAGCCCAAAAAGAGGAAGAAAGATGTGGCAATGGCTGGTCTGTGAAGCAGTCAGAACACACACAGTATTTATCGATTAAATTTGCCATCTTGCATGTGCCATTACAATGACAACAGCACTATCAAAAATCATGGCTGGGTGCAGTGACTCATGCCTGTAATCCCAGCACTTTGGGAGGCTAAGGTGGGTGGATCTCCTGAGTCCAGGAGTATGAGACCAGCCTGGCCAACATGGTGAAACCTTGTCTTTACTAAAAATACAAAAAAAAAAAAAAAAAAATTAGCCACGCATGGTGGTGGGAACCTGTAATCCTAGGTACTCAGGAGGCTGAGGTAGAAGAATCTCTTGAACCTGGGAGATGGAGATTGCAGTGAGCTGTGATCATATCACTGCATTCCAGCCTGAACGACAGAGCAAGGGTCTGTCTCAAAAAAAAAATCACTAACATAGATCATCATAAAAGATGTAATGCTAATAATGCAAAATTTGAAATATTGCATGAATTACCAAAATGTGTCACAGAGACATGAAGTGAGCACATGCTGCTGGAAGAAAACGGGCGTTGATACGCTTGCTCGACACCGTCAGCTTCAAGCTGTTGTTAGCTTGAAGTGAGGAGCCAAATGACTACAAATTAGGCTGTTGATTCCTTTAGATGCAACTGAAAAGTGCTCTGGGACTGTAAAATTCCTTAAGATACTAGATAAAAACTGTTCCTTTTTTTTTAAAAATTGGAGTTTATCATTTGCTAAAGTAGTTAAACTTATTTTTCTCAAATCATTTCATAAAATACTTATTCTAATTTCTGTCAGCCTTATGTTTTTTCATCTCTAAAATATTTAATATTTTCTACTTCCCACCAGGAAAACATAATTGAAACTAACTGCTGGATTAAGTAACCTTTAGTAGTACATATATTTTTAAAAATAAAATACATAGAGAATTGTGATTATAGATTTGTTTACTATATTTTATACATAGTTCATATATATATATCAGACTCCTCACTTTATAAATAACTCATAATTTAGTCTTGCAAACTAAGAAAAATGCCATTTGATCACACTGTCTATTAGAAAATAAATTGCATTATGTAGATATGAAAAACTGTAGTCTTTGTTGCTTTTAGTAACTTATGTTACAAGGTCTGACTTCTAATTTATTTCACAATGATTTTTATATTTCTGAAATTATGTGTATTTTCCTTTTATTGGAAATTAAAACTTGAATTCTGATTTTTTTTTTAGAGTGGCTGATGGCTGACATTATTAAATGTGAGTTGGCTTGCTTAATTCAGTTATATGGTAGATATTTGCCACTAATTAAAATAAGAAAAACACTACATTTTGTTCCTGGATGTTGACAGGTTTCAGAGATGCATTCAATGAATATTTTAATTTCTCCCTCCCTGCCTGAATGTATTGAATTAAACAAAGCACCTTTCACTGAAAGAGTCACTGGTATAGGCCGGTCATTGGGTCTTGGTGAAGACTTTGTGCTCCTAACACTCTTCCTCTCAGAAACTTAGGGTACCAGTAGCTCTAATAATAGAATAACAAGAATATTTTCAAACGAATTGGTTTCTTGTTTGCTTTTATTACAACAGAAGGGCTAGCTAACAAATTATCCATTGACATAGTATTAAAAATAATTTTTGATGATAAACTACTGTGTTTTTTTGGTATAAAATTCAGAAGAATTTGAAGAACTGAGAGACATTGTCATAAGAAAACTCTTTCCCATTTACCTTTTTTTTTAATCAAGTTTGCTCATTGCTCATCTCTATGAAGTAAAAATAAAAATAGATTGGATGTTGAAGACTCTTTCCAGTAATAACTAATATCCACTGATAGATATATAAACTCGCCCAAAATAAATCAGTTTGATCCATGTCAGTATGAGGTGTGTTTTCAATAAATTTAATTTTTTATCTTTAATAATTACATCAAATTTGTTAATGCAATTTATGTTGTTTTAAACAGTTGTTTATAGAAGAAAAAAATCTTCAAATCTCTTAGACTCTTTTGGGCACAGGAAAAAATATATACATATTTTTGTAGCAAAAATGTATGATAGAATAATCAATGAAAACCTTTTCAGCATAAAAATGTATTAAATTGTATAAAATGTATTGGTGAAATGAGATAGGAAAGTTCAAAAAGATAAAGAAACTGTATAAAATTAGAAAAGTGTCTATTCATCTTTTTTAAAAATGAATAAAATCTAGTGTATTTAGATTCTGCTGCATACTTTAAAAAATCTGATAAAAAGATTTTATTTGAAAATGTTGATATTTACAATATGTCTGAAATCACATGTTACTGTTTACTTTTTTAAAGATAAATCTTAAATATCAGCTTAAAAATGTACAAGTAGATACCTATTTTTCTAAAATTCTTCTAAAGATTTTAAGAGTTTGTCAGCTGAAGTCCTCTATCTTAGGGGACCATGTTTTCTTGGTGATAACTTTTAAGGTCTATCTTTTTCTTCATTGCAGGAACTATTTTTGCCTGAATGGTGGCCAAGCTACTTTATCTCCAGGAAGGGACAGCACTGAGGTCCTCAGGAACATGAGCACATGAAGAGTTGAATGCTTTGTTTAATATGCAAGGCCCTTCAGTCTGTTCCAACTCACGACTCCAGCCTTGCACTCTGGCCCCCACCAGAGCTCCACACTCTCTCCACATCAAATCTCTCAGTCTGTGACAATATCAGATCCTTTTATACTTTGGTGCTTTGAACCTTATGTTTCTTCTGCCTGCAGCCATCTTCTCACCGTCAAAGGCACAGGCAAAAACAAAGACAAAAACTAAAACCCAGAACAAGTAAGGAGATTGATTTTATTTGGAATCTTGCAATAGTGAGAGCACCGCAGATCTGAGGATCAGAGTGTGTCGGCAGGGTGCTTTTGCCTTAGATTTTATAACAAAGAGCTTGGCTAAGCTATATGTGAGATGACTTCACAGATAGGATCGTTTTTTTTTTTTTTTTTTGTAATCAGGGGAGACTCAGTTGGTCAGATTGTTACTGGAAAGAGGTTCCAATGCAGATTCCAAGAGAGGGTTCTTGGATCTTGTGCAAGAAAGAATTACACCTATAGTTCCAGCACTTTGGGAGGCTGAAGGGGGTGAACCACGAGATCAAGAGATTGAGACCATCCTGGCCAACATGGTGAAACTCCATCTCTACTAAAAACACACAAAAAATTAGCTGGGCATTGTGGTGCACGCCTGTACTTCCAGCTACTCACGAGGCCGAGGCAGGGCAATTGCTTGAACAAGGGAGGCAAAGGTTGCAGTGAACCGAAATTGTGCCACTGCACTCCAGCCTGGTGACAGAGGGAGTCTCCATCTCAAAAAAAAAAAAAAGAACAGCTATTCCATAGGCAGAGCAGCAGCATGGGCTGCTTGACTAAGGATACTAACAGTTATTGCTTGATTACATACTAAACAAGAGGTGGATTATTCGTGAGTTTTCTGTGAAAGGGGTGGGCAATACCTGAAACTGAGGGTTCCTCCCCTTTTTAGACCCTATCGGGGAACTTTCTGACATTGCCATAGCATTTGTAAACTGTCATGGCACTGGTGGGAGCGTCTTTTTGCATGCTAATGTCTTATAATGAGCAGTGAGGACAACCAGAGGTCACTCATGTTGCCATCTTGGTTTTGGTGGATTTTGGCTGGCTTCTTTTCTGCAAGCTGTCTTTTTTTTTTTTTTGAGACGGAGTTTCGCTCTTGTTACCCAGGCTGGAGTGCAATGGTGCGATCTCGGCTCACCGCAACCTCCACCTCCCGGGTTCAGGCAATTCTCCTGACTTAGCCTCCTGAGTAGCTGGGATTACAGGCACGCGCCACCATGCCCAGCTAATTTTTTGTATTTTTAGTAGAGACGGGGTTTCACCATGTTGACCAGGATGGTCTCGATCTCTTGACCTCGTGATCCACCAGCCTCGGCCTCCCAAAGTGCTGGGATTACAGGTGTGAGCCACCGCGCCTGGCCCTGCAAGCTATTTTATCAGCAAGGTCTTCATGACTTGTATTTTATGCCAACCTCCTATCTTATCCTGTCACTTAGAATGGCTAATCTCCTGGGAATGTAGCCCAGTAGTGATAGGGACAGGAAGCAGGGAAATTCTGGGCCAAAGAGGGCGGGTCTCTGGCAAGGGCCCCATCCTCAAGCCAAAAAAGCCTGAGACTGCCTCACAAAGCAAAAACTTACATCACTGTTTTCCTGCTTGAATGTTGCCTTTTCCAAAACCAACCATAGCCCCACCCTGCCGCATCCTGTGCCTATAAAAACCCCAAACCCAGCAGGCAGAGAAGAGAAGGAGCTGGATGTTGGCCACTATGGCTGAATGTTAGAGAGCAACTTGACTTCAGAGGGACAGACTGACAGCTTCTCTGGTAACTTCAGAGAGGAATTTGGCAGGAGATGGCTAGACTTCAGGGTAAGATTACCTTCTGGCTCCATCCCCTTTGCCGCTCCCGTTCCCACCGAGAGCCATTCTCATCAGCAGTAATATCCCCCACATTTGCCCACACTCACCAGTGTGCCCTCTCCCAAGGGGGGTGGATCGCAGCAGGTCTGAGCGAATGGAGTTCTTGTGGGTGATGACGCGGCTGGCCAATTCCAGCACTCAGGTACTCCAGTTCCCGCCTTGTTGACTTGCTTTCTCCCTCCTACCAGGAGTTGAGAGCTGTGGGCGTGAGTTCCACAGTGGGGTCAGGGAGATTTCCTGCTTCAGGAGGTCTCGGCCTTTCCCAGCCCTTATTCAAGTTGTCCTGGTTGGAATTCTTCCGGCAAGATGAACAAGAATGTTTATCTCGGTGTCAAGCTAGTTTTCTGGGGATGAACAGACAGTTCAGCTAATTATTTATGAAACAAAGACAGATTTTTAGGGTCTGGTCTTGTATACAGAAACGTTTGTGAGTCATGTGAGTCAGGAAAAAGAGTGAATTTTGAGTCTCATGTGTCATCTGGGAAGGAGGTTTTTTTTTTCCCCACAGCATACACCACACATTGCAGAAACAGCGCAGGCCGGTACTTGGCATAAAACGGATTCCGTTAAATCTCTTTCAAGGAGCGAAACCATTACATAAGGCAGTTTCAGCAAAAGAAGGACCCCAGTGTCACACACTCAGGGGTAGGTCAGGGCTTGGCTCTTCTGCAACCATCTCAACAAATGCATAAATGGCCAATTTTTTACAAAACAAAACAGATACCTGCAAACCAGCCGGGCACGCGTATGACCACGGCTGACTGGTGGGAGGAGAGATGCTTCTTCAGCAGAATCAAAAGAGGGGCAGAAGTTATTGTTGGTCTCACCTACGTCTCCGTTGTTGAAACAAATGAATTTTGTCAAAACAAAGGTACTTTATGCTGCCGTAAACCCTTTAGCAGAACACAAAAAGGGTGGGAAATTCTGGAAAAACACTTTTCTGACCACAGGGCATAGGTAAAGTTCAATGTCAGCACCCTGGTTAAACCTGCGGGTCCTAAGTACTTCCTTTGCCAAACTGTAATCCTCAGGCTCCCCGGGAAGTAGACTTGAGACAGAGATTAACTTGCAGGATGATTATTGGGAAGTCACTTTGAGATGAACAGCTGTGGAGGGCAGGCGAGGAAGGCCATTTAGGGAGGAACAGAAATCCACAAAGCAAATCTGGTTGTATTTGGCCCTGAGCTAAGAAAGAACGGTTTTTACATTTTCAATGGGTTGTAAAAAAAAAAAATAGAAAACCAGACAGAAATTCACCTATGTGGCCTGCAAAGCCTAAAACGTTTACTCTCTAGCCTTTTCACACAGTTTGCCTGCTCCTGGGTTGGAAGGGGGAATGCCAACTGCTCATGCAGACCTAACAAAGGCCTCAGTCAATCCTCCTGGGAGCCAGGAAGCTGCAATTATGCTGCAAAGTTGTCTTGAACTGCGGCAAATGGGTAGGATTTCCCAGGTGGTCTGCTCCTGGGAAGGAGCCTTATCTTGATGAGGCAGCTGGAGGGGAAGTGCTTCAGTCCTCCGAGGGAGGGTGGTGGCCGAGGTGGTGGCAACATCCATCATAGGAGCCTTTCCTAACTTCCTGAGGGAGAGTTTGTTGCCCTTCTTTGGTTTCCCACAGTGTGAAGTGTTTGCCTAATTCGTCCTTTACCTGCCAGTATCCTCCACTCAGCTGGAACCCACCAGGAAGAAGTGTCCAATTTCCTTTTGTGCTTCTCGTGCCTAATGCAGAGTCTGGCATAAGATTGGGCTGAGTAGATATTAACTGAATGAAAAAATATTCTCATTTTTCATAAGAGTGAAATATAGAAAGTAATCTGTCTAGCTATTCATAGAATAAGTGGAAGGGTTTTTTTTAAAAGAATTTTGTAAACCAGACCTTTGTTTATTTTCATGGAATGGGTATGAATGGATGTATGACACTTGAATACAAGAAGAGTAGAATGCCCAATTTCAATCACAGACTTGGATTTGAGAGAAATTTTCCCCTGGCTTCATAAGCTGCCCTGTCAATGTTGCTGACACTTCCTGGCATGTGGTAGAAACAGTATGGATTTCTCTGCTGACTTTCTTTTTTTTTGAGACGGAGTTTCGCTCTTGTTTCCCAGGCTGGAGTGCAATGGCGCGATCTTGGCTCACCGCAACCTCCGCCTCCTGGGTCCAGGCAATTCTCCTGCCTCAGCCTCCTGAGTAGCTGGGATTACAGGCACGCGCCATCATGCCCAGCTAATTTTTTGTATTTTTAGTAGAGACGGGGTTTCACCATGTTGACCAGGATGGTCTCGATCTCTTGACCTCGTGATCCACCCGCCTCGGCCTCCCAAAGTGCTGGGATTACAGGCATGAGCCACCATGCCCGGCCCTAGTTATGCTATATCTTTATGGTCAGGTTTTGATTCTCTACCAATCTGGTAAGAAGAAACACACAACCTTTTCAGTTTCGCAGTTAGAATTTGACACCACTTACAGGTCCTGGACTCTTTTGATCTGTCCTAGGTAATGCTTTGATGCCACAGACAGCCTGTGAAGTCACTCACTTTTTCCAATCGCCTCCTAGGCAAAAACAGACATAGACTCCTTTTTTCCAATCCCAGTGTGTGCTTGTCTTGAGAAATTCAACCCCAGCCAGATAAGCAGCATTTCTTACTGTGCTCAGAGCACACCCTTGCCCAGCACTCAGCCTCATCTGATTACAGCAGACCACTGGCAGTTACGTAAGGTAGGGCTGAAGTGTGGCTCTCTCTGCCTGACAAAGCAGAGGAGAGGGAAATTGTCGGGGCATATTTCAGTTTAGCTTTGGCAGCTTTAACTTCATGCCACTTCTGAATAAATAAAACAATTTTTTACTTCTATTTCTTTTCCCTTAGTTTTCTCGTTTTGTGGTCCTGGTTGTTTCTTTTTTATTCACCTGTTTTCTTTTATTCCCCATAGCTCATTTCTTTGCTCTGCTCTGCAAAGGCCACCATTCTAATACATTTAATGTGTATTTTTTAAAAAAGAGTATGTGTTCTTGAAAAATGTATGTTGTAATTTGTAAGCATCTCCTTTCAATTTTTGCATTTGTTACTGTGATAAATTATCACACTGTGTTATAACTCCTTGTTACCCAGCAGTGTGCTTTTAAGATCCACCTGTGTCACTCTGGGTACGTCTACTCCATTACTTCCGGCCGTCCATGGTGCTCCTCGGTGTGTATCTGCCACCTGTGTCGCTCCGGGTACGTCTACTCCATTACTTCCGGCTGTCCATGGTGCTCCTCGGTGTGTATCTGCCACCTGTGTCGCTCCGGGTACGTCTACTCCATTACTTCCGGCTGTCCATGGTGCTCCTCGGTGTGTATCTGCCACCCGTGTCGCTCCGGGTACGTCTACTCCATTACTTCCGGCCGTCCATGGTGCTCCTCGGTGTGTATCTGCCACCTGTGTCGCTCCAAGTACGTCTACTCCATTACTTCCGGCCGTCCATGGTGCTCCTCAGTGTGTATCTGCCACCTGTGTCACTCCGGGTACATCCACTCCATTACTTCCGGCTGTCCATGTTGCTCCTCGGTGTGTATCTGCCACCTGTGTCGTTCTGGGTACGTCTACTCCATTACTTCCGGCTGTCCATGGTGCTCCTCGGTGTGTATCTGCCACCTGTGTCGCTCTGGGTACGTCTACTCCATTACTTCCGGCCGTCCATGGTGCTCCTCGGTGTGTATCTGCCACCTGTGTCGCTCTGGGTACGTCTACTCCATTACTTCCGGCTGTCCATGGTGCTCCTCGGTGTGTATCTGCCACCTGTGTCACTCTGGGTACGTCTACTCCATTACTCCGGCTGTCCATGGTGCTCCTCGGTGTGTATCTGCCACCTGTGTCGCTCCGGGTACGTCTACTCCATTACTTCCGGCCGTCCATGGTGCTCCTCGGTGTGGATCTGCCACCTGTGTCGCTCCGGGTATGTCTACTCCATTACTTCCGGCTGTCCATGGTGCTCCTCGGTGTGTATCTGCCACCTGTGTCGCTCCAAGTACATCTACTCCATTACTTCCGGCTGTCCATGGTGCTCCTCGGTGTGGATCTGCCACCTTTACCCTCTTCATTCATCCAAATAGCAAGTAACTTCCTGTCACTGCAGTGAACATCCTCGTACATGTTTCCTTCCAGAGAGGTGTGAGCATTTTGGAAAGAAATAGACCCAGGAATGGAATTGCTAAGTCATAGGGTATGCCTGTGATTAATTTGACTAAACAATGCCACCTTGCTCACAGCAGCCCTGTCTACCTTCCCACCAGCAATGTATGAGAGTTCACACACACACACACACACACACACACCCCAAGAATTGACCTAAACTGGCTTCTAAGTTCTGCCTTTTTTAGAAGTGTGATATAAAACTAATGGTAATTTTTGCATTTCTTTGCTGATTTCATATGCTTTTTTCTTAGTTCTTCTGGCTTTTCTGTTCTGGAATTTGTTTTTATATACTTCACCCACTTTTCTATTAAGATTGCTATTTTCTGGTTGATTTGAACAGTTTCTTATGTCCAAGAATGTGTGTACTGCTAGGAGAAAGAAGGGTAAGATTTACTGCTCTTCTTTATAGCTTCCCACTCAAGGCCTGAGTCACTTTACCATTCATCAGCCATATGAAGATATTTTTCAAAGATTGATTAAAACTTACGAGATTTGATTTACTAAGAAATTGTAGATTATTTTCTTTTTAAATACCACCCAGTTGTCATCAACTGGGAAACAGAAATGAGAATGGAGCTGTTGAGACATTCTTTCTTAGGGTAAGTTTTTCCAATTATCAGAAGGTAAAGGACAAACATTGACGTTTCATTGTACCTCTGTCATAACGCACAGCTGGGCTGCCCATCGTAGTGGAAACGCGAGCGGCTCTTTCGAAGCATCCTCTCTGAAATGAGGTGTAGGCTCAACGACATCTTTTGTGTCCAACCCCTCACATGTATTTCTCCTAAGGTCTGCCTGATGGGCTTAGTAATAATAGAAACAATGGAACAAAATGTGAGAGTCATGCTGGACCAGGACTATAGTATTAATTAAAGTTGCAGGATTTTTTAAAAAAGCTTTCAAATTGTCGGAGCCTTGTTTCAGTTTCCTGAAGTATAAATGAAGAAACAACTGTATGGTGGCTATCATCTTTTAGTCAAAAACAAACAAACAAACAAACAAACAAGAACCAAGAAAATAAAAAACCAAAACTATTACAGCCTTCAAACTTTTTCTAAGCTTATATGTGGCTCATCAGCAGATGCCTTCAACATAAATTTTTTCAAGGTAAGAATGGAATCAGTCATAAGAAAATTCCCAAAGAAAAGGAAAGTTCTCTGTTGAAGGAGACTGTTTGTTTATCCAAAAGTGAGGTATAAAATGAAATAGCGAAGTGAACGTGCGAAATATTTATTAGGAAGCACTGAGAAACTGTTCCAGTGTCCCTGCTAAAGAATATATGGTGTGTGTGGAATTTTCCACTTTCTTCAGCAATAAGCCTATTGGATACTTCGCTGTCACTGTGTTTGCAAATCACAGTACTGAGATCTGCCTAGTGGCTGTCCAGTTGAGTGGTTTTCCCGGGTTTGATAAGAAAGCTGTCTTACATACCAATAAGTTAACTCACTTTCTCATGCCACGACTGCCTCTGAATTGAGGCTGCATTTGCGTGCCATTAGGGTCAGAGATCACATTCCTAGGGAATGAAAAAAATAAATCTGTCCAATTAGTAAATCCTATTCGCACCATAAATTCTTCTTTATTTGCATGAGCTTGGAGTCTGAACAGGGTGTTTGCAAAGCAAGGGCACTTTACATATGCTAAAATAAGAACGAAAAGTGACTAGGGAGATAAGAACAGTATGGTAAGAATTATATTTGTGTAACAAAATTAATTCAGGAAAGCTGTTGCGTTTATAACCTAGAAGAAGTTGTCCTTTTCAGGGGAAATAAAACGGACTAAAATATACAGAAGAGTTACTTGAAAATCTTCCAAACACATCTTTTATGTAGTGCTATACAATATATTTATTTACTTAAACAAATGACATTTCTAAATGAACAAAAGGATAAAATATCGTTAGCAAATGCTAGATGTTCATCTTACCAACAAAAAGCTCTGTACGGTGTCAGAAATCACATTCAGGGGCCTGGGTGTTTGGTGCCTCCGACGTGCTCCTCCACACTGTTAACCTGGACTGTGTATGGACTATACTCGTGGGCTCTCTTGTCCTCTGTTTGTTGATTAGGTTAGCGGGGGAGCTCTAACAGAGACTAGAGAAAGGAGGACATTTATGCTGCTAGCTCTTTTCCTGAGCAATGTCTTTAGACTGGCAGTGTCCTTCCACAGAAGTTTACACCCCTTCTTATGGTCACCCAATAAATAGATTCCTACTTCCAGGCTCCAGTGGCCACTCCCTAACCTGGGCCTAACAATATGGCTGCTTTCGTGTTACTCTGCCATTCCATGTGTTTTCACATCTTTGGTGATAATTCTTTCGTTATGCCTACTTTGAATTATTAGATTTGTATTTGTCATCTGTTTCCTGTTGGGGTCCAGATTTATTGAATTTGGAAGACAAATCTTGCCCCTGGAACATTTTTAAAGAATCTATGTCCACTTGGCATATAACAAGACATCAAGAGGTTGGTACAGTGGCTCACACTTGTAATCCCGGCACTTTGGGAGGTTGAGGTGGGTGGATCATGAGGTCAGGAGATCAAGATCATCCTGGCCAACATGGTGAAACCTCGTCTCTATTAAAAATACAAAAATTAGCTGGATGGTAGTGCACACCTGTAGTCCCAGCTACTAGAGAGGGTGAGGCAGGAGAATTGCTTGAACCCAGGAGACGGGGGTCACAGTAAGTAGAGATCAGGCCACTGCACTCCAGCCTGGCAACAGAGCGAGACTCCATCTTAAATAAATAAATAAATAAAATAAAATAAAATACGTGAATTGTCAGGGAAATAACAGAGTGAGAAAATTATATATTCTTATTATATGCCAGGTACTGTGAAAATTTTTTTAATTCCAAATCTGTACATCTAACCCAGGAGTATCTGTGAATTTGAATTTCTGAAAGGAAGAGAGCTTGGCTGGACTGGGGAATGAGGCTCTCAGAAGCTTTCTCTTATCACTGAGGAACATTGCCTGTGAAGCTCTGGCCAACCTGTGGGACTGACGGAAGTTCTCTTCTTTTGGACATTCATTCATTCACCAATCATTTCCTGCTTACGCAGTACACGTAAGCACCGTACCACGTGCTACGGATTTGCAGCCGTGAAGTGCTGTACAGTTACTCATGTCTCATTTTAATGTTGCGAAAATCC